CAGAACGGAGCATCCGTGGAATGCAGTAATGTTGTGTTTTCAGCAATGGAGATAAGTGCATAAACCCCTAAAATAAATAATAACTCACCTACTAAATCTCCAATGTGAAGTTCCAGCTGTGTTGAGCAACACCACAGACGACGTGTGTTTTTAGCAAAGGTGTTCACCAGTTTGAATAGAGAATGGAGGAGGAGATGAATATCGTGGGTATGGGGTATGTGGCTGTGTGGGGGCAAAGATGGAACTTTGTGTGTATATTGTTGGGGTTGGTGTGTGAGTATGGATAAATATATAAATTTGTGGTGTGTGATGAGAACAATATTTATTTTTCAAATAATAGCCACGTAATATGTCGAACCAAACTTCTCAAAAATTAAAATATTGGAGGCGTTTGACAAGTTGGGTAGATTAACAAATTGTAAAACAATTTTAGAGGCCATGTGCCTAAAAATAAATTACAAAAGGGAATTTTTTTCTTCTTTTGAATAGGGTAAAATTGGCCATTTTATTCGTAATTATTAAAAAACAAATAATAATAATTAAAAAAATCGAGATATTACATAAATAATAGGCTGGTGTGGCTGCATAGTATGGCATACCAACAGAAATTGATGAAAAGAAAATCGAAAAAGAAAAAAGGTTATGCCCAAGGATATTTTTGTAATTTTATATATGGACACATCATCTCTAAATAATAATATGCCTTGAGACAAAATATAATGTGTAAATAAACGCACCAAAAATATATCTCAAATTAAACATTTTAACCATTAATTAAAATAATCACAAAACCAAAATATTAAAAAGCTAACCCACATCACAAACAAACCAAGACAAACCAAGAGAGTAGTGTGATTCTCTCGTCTCTGTTCCACCTAGAAGTGTCATATCATATTTGTTTTGGAAAGCTGAAAGAGTCAGTGAGAGCATAGAGAGATGTGCGCGCAGGGTCTTTGAACTTCTTGTTCTTTTTTTTGATTCAAATGAAATAAACCAACAAGTGCAGAGTTACATACAAAAAATAGAGGGCATATGCTTAAGCCCTCATGGAATTTGCAGATATCAAATCTGCTACAAGAAAGGAGGTTACATTGCTGGGAGGTTCTTCAAGAAAGATGGGATGCTCTTTTTGGTTGACACCTGTGTTGGCTAGTGCATCAGCATTCTGATTGGCTTCTCTGGGCACATACTGAATGGTGCATTTACATCGGTTCAGTATAAAATTTCTATCTTCAATCAGTGCTCTGTAGGGATGTGTTCCTTCTACTCCATTGCTGATTAGTTGCATTGTAGTTTGGGAGTCAATTTCTATCTGAATTCCATTAAGCCCTTTTTGCATGATAATGGTGAGGCCTCTATATAGTCCCCATAGCTCTGCTTCTAAGCTAGTGCAGTTACCTAGGTAGCCACAGTATCCCCATATCTAGCTACCAACTTTATTCCTAAACAGGCCTCCATATCCTGATTGTCCAGGATCTCCCTTGGAAAATCCATCAGTATTAAGCTTAAGTTTACCTGCAAGAGGAAGAAACCAAGTAGTTAGTTTAGGTTCTAAGTAGTTAGGATGGAGTATGCCGTTGAAGGTAGCTTGAGTTTCTTGGGCCTGTTTCAGGATTGAGCAAATGGTGATGTGAGGGGGGAGAGTAAGGTTATCAAACACTTCTTTATTCCTTTCTTTCCAAATAGTCCATAATGCTGTCAAGAATATGATAGGCCATTTGATTTCTGCCAGTTGGTTTTTCGTTTTCATGTTGGTTTTGATCTATTCTGCAAGAGTTTGGTTGTTCCCATGGTGCCACCAATTAGTGTCTTTAAGCTTGATCCAAATGGCTTTTGCTTTAGAGCATCCTCTTAATAGGTGGTGCATGTCTTCTATTGCTATCTTACATCTGGGACAAGTAACAGAATCAGACAGGTTTCTAATGAGCCTCATTTGGTTTGTTAACAATCTGCCATGCGTTACTAACCAGAGGAAACTTTTCAGTCTTTGAGGAGCTTTAATGTTCCAGAGCCAATTCCAATACTGCTCATTATCATCTTGTTCAGAAATAGCCTTGTAAGCTGTTGAAGTTGAGTGGTTACCATTAGAAGACCCCTACCATATTGGAGTGTCCATAAAGATTACAAACCTGGGTCTGTGTATCTGTAGAACATTGTCCTTGTCCTGTTGGGAGATTAGGTCTTGTATTGGTGTGAGGTCCCAACCTCCTTCATCATCAAGGATGGAACTGACCTAGGTTGTAACATTAATGTGAGATCTAGGACTGCTGTGGCAAAGGGGCTGTGAGCCATACCACCAATCAGTCCCGAGTGAGATGTTTTCACCATTACCAACATTCCATTTGATATTCTTATCCAACACATCTCTGTTTCTTATGATTATTTTCCATGTATGAGATGCATTTCTTTTGTTGGGCCAATTGGACAGGGAGTGCTTTTTGAGGTACTTTGATTTAAGGATTGAACACTAAAGATCTTCAGAATTGCTAGCAACTTTCCACCCCAGTTTAGTAATAAGGGCAGAATTTTGTTCTCTTGCCTTCTTGATGCCGAGGCCCCCTTGTTTCTTGCTTTTGTAGACAGTTTTCCAGTTGATAAGGTGGACTTTCTTAGCATTTTCAGTACTACCCCAGAGAAAATTTCGGTTAAGCCTATCAATTTTGTCACATATATTCCTAGAAAGTTCCATAGTCTGCATCAAGTGGTTGTGAATGACAGATGTGACAGATTTAATAAGGGTGATTCTACCTGTAAGGGATAAATTCTTTGATTTCCATCCAGATAACTTGCTTGATATCCTTTCTATAATATCTTTGTTTTCCCCCTTGTTTCTATAATATCTTCTTGTTCTCAAATCCTAACCTCCTTCCTTCTCTCCCCCTCTCTCTCTCATTCTTGTTTTCTTGCTCTTCCATTTGATTAATTCTTTTGGAGACGATTTCACAGAAGTCTTTAAATAGAGAGCGAGCGAGAGAGAGAGAGAGAGAGAGAGAGAAGGAGATGGGAAACTGGCTAACAGCGAACAAAGAAGCTCCACCGTCGCCAAGAGCGTTGGTTCTACCGCTCTTTGATTTCCCCCCTCTCGCTGCCCGCACCAAGTTTTCCCCAACTCCTTCCTCCAATTACACACACACACATACATACATACATAAAAATTCCATGTTTGTTTACTGGATTAGATGTGACTATTAACGTTTGGACAAAGGTAGTGTTTGGTTCACAATTGGATTAGATGTGACTATTAACGTTTGGACAAAGGTAGTGTTTGGTTCACAATTGTAATGGAATGATAATTCCATAGCCTCTTTATGGAATGTGAGAATAGTTTAGTTATCATATCCCATATTTGTGTAGAATTATTATACATCACTAGATGGTATAATGGTTTTTTTAATTTTTGGGTAAATTACAAGTTTGAAGAAAATATATAATTACATCAGCTTTTAATTCATATAATACTTAGTCATTTTTTTTTAATCAATAATTGGTAAATCGCATGGATTTTTCCTCTACTAATATATATATATATATACCACTGTTTATTTCATTGTCTACCTATCAGTAGCATTAGTTTTGATCACTCTAACTTTTCTAAAAGGGGAGGTCTGTGTAATTATTTTAAACTTGTGGGGCTAACTATATTTTTCTCAAGCCTTCAAGGAGGTGAGTGTAATTTACCCTTAATATTTAACTCCCTAATCCAAATGCCCTTAATTTACATTTTTGTGCCCAACTTCCCTCCCAATTCAATAGTACCCCATATGGGGGATATAGGGACTGTCCTGTGATTCAAACATGAGATTCAGAATTGACCAGTATACGTAACTTTTTTTGGTACTACATATTTTTATTTTATTTTTTAATCGATGATTATGGTTTGTTTGAGTGATGTCTTCTTTTGTCAGGATCACATTAATGTTTGTTTTACTCAATATTTTCTAGCCCTTGGTGATTAGAGAAGTTGGAATTTACAATAATTGTTTGTGGGCCTTTTTTAATTTTTAATCAAACCTTTTCAAGTATATCATTGAGAATGAAAGGGCCATTGCTTGGTGCAGTTGTAAAAGCTGAGGCTTCCAGGCATGCGAATGCATATTTAAGTATAAGGGCAGTCGCAGAAAAAAAAAGTTAGGTCATTGCCCTGTCTATCTGTCACAAGTACCCTCGGTTATCTGGGTTCAACAACGAGGAATGGTCTATAGAGCCCTTCGAACTGGCAATGTCTTATCGATCACATTCATTAGGCAATTTTGCATATAAATGAATTTGCTGCTCAAAATAAATTAAGCATTTCAATGGATACAGGGCAAGTTTTATGGTTTTATTATTAATCAATTTACATTTTTCAGTTCCTTGTTGTTTCTAGAAGCAGGCTTTGCCTTGATTTCCTATATGTTTGCTTGTCTGAACATGTTGCTGTTTCTCAGCATGGAGAAATGTTTAGTAGTTGATTTTGTTGACTCATGGTGAGGTGATGCAGGATGTTGGAGTCATCATATGACTTGTTATTTGGGAAGCTTGCTTTGAGATGCCTCTTTGAGGATTGCTTTGAAGAAGCTAGGCATTTTAGCACAAGAATCATGCTAAAACCCATTGATGACCTTCATGTAGATTTGATCGCAACTGTATCCTTCTGGGTTACAGTTACTCTTGTAAAGCTATTAGTTAAATGAAATATATAATTTTTTCTTCTTTCTAAAAAAACATCTTCTGCTGGATTATAATTCAACACTGATTCGACATTGATATCAAGGAGTATGTTGTCTCCCTTAGCATGTTCAGGTTTTGGGCCCACTTAATCACAAGCCCAAGGAGAAAATCATGGAAAATGCACTATCCCGCTGGCAAATGTAGTGTAGTGTTTGTTTGTACTATGCATCATCTTCCTTTGTCGTGCCATTAAGTTAAGATATTGATGTGATTAAATAATCGTTGAGTAACAATCTAACAATTTTTCTAACAGTGATGTTGATGACCCTTGCACATTCATAGACTTTTTTATCAAATACTAATCTGTAAGCAGCACTTTCTTGATAAGATTTTTTTGGGGAGGTATTCTGCAACCATTTATCATCATTCTCTAATGTTTGTCTTCGTTCTTTACCTTAGGAATTTACTAATGAGGTCATGTGCCTACTACCCTAAATATGGTTTTGGAGCATTTGGATTTTTCCCAATGCTTTTGAAGAAAAGGTATGGTCCTATCCTAAAACTATCTTATGGATTCTCTAGCTTGTTGGGATGCCTTACTATTGGCAGTGTTATATTCAAAGGCTTGCTGATCATGCAAAGTATCTTCTGAAGATTATGGTGTTGCGGGGTTGAGATATGGCTCGTCAAATCTATCAATTGGAGCTACATTAATGCCGTTCTGTTGTATGTGACCTGTATTGCAAGTAATTGATTTTTCTCCTATTTTCACGAGTTATGGTTCTTTATATTTTGGTTCTTATGCTAACATTCTTTGTTGGCTTGTGAACTTGATTAATCAATTTGTTTCTGTACATTGCTGATAAAAATAAAAATAAAATAGTTCACTACTGCACATTTTTAAAAAAAAAAGTTTATTTGGAATGTAATAATGTGCACATTTTCATTAAATCTTTATTGAGCTTGTTGAAGATTGGCTTAGATTTGCTTTGTTTGCTTTGTCAACAATGGCTGCTGATTAAAGAAAAAATTGACGAAGCTAGACATTTTCGGCTGAGCTACTTATGGTAGGGTGGCCAATCTTGTTGGTTGTTGGTGGTTGCCATAAATGTTGTCGGTGACTTGTTGAAGACTTTGGCCCTCTATTTCATCTATAAATGGTTAGTGAATGGGAGGGGGTCAGTGTGGTGAGTTGAAGAAAGAATACAGAGCAGAGAGAGAGAATTACAGAGTTTGTAATTCTTTGTTCCAAATATAATGAAATCCGCTGCACGTGGACGTAAGTGATTTGCCGAACCACGTAAATCTTTGTGTGTTCTTGCTTGTGTGTGATTGTTTTCTGCTTCCTAGGCACAATAAATTGGTATCAGAGCATTGTTATGCAAAAAACAGAGTGTTTTTTCTGTAAACTGAAAATTTCAAAGTTGTCGAAATCGAGTTTTTAGCATACCACGACAACCGCCTCGACGAGCGGAGTTCAAACCCAGAAAGACCATCCTACGAGGACATTCCACACGCCCTCACGCGCTTACCAAAGTTTTGCCAGAGACTTGCTGGAAAGTTTAGTTCGGCAAAGAAGCAAAGGTTGAAGAAGTCAACCTGTCCTAAAGGCATTAAGGATTCACTTATGCATCAATATAGCACAAGTTAACACTTACTAGAGTGGTTAGAGCCTTGGATCAACACTTTCAGGTCAAGGGTTCAAAACTCATGACAAAAAAATTTCCAAATTATTTTTGAAAGTTGCCGCATCCCCGCCACATCACACCACATCAGCGCCAGGTGTCAGCCCAGTCACTGCCACGTCTAAACCACGTATCGAGACACGTCACTGCCAGCTCAACTACTACGTCACTGCCACATTAGCACACCTGCTACGTCATCGTCCCACTCAGCCCTGCCAAGTCACTGCCATGTGTCGAGATACGTCACCGCCAGCTCAACTGCCACATCATCCCCACATCAGCACATCTGCCACGTCAGCGTCCTAGTCAACCAAATTTTTTGAAATTACAGGAAGGCCCCTGAAAGCTTGGTAAATTACATTTCAGTCCATAATCTGTTGAAATTATAATTTAGCCCCTGAAACTTTTGTAAATTGTAGTAAGGTCCCTAGATTTTTTGGAAAATTATAATTTAGCCCCTAGATTTGGAGAAATTTCATTGAGGTCCCTAAAGAAGTGGAGAAAGTACTTTCCTAGCTAAATCAACCATTCCGGACACAACCGCAGATTCTTTTTTTTGAGATTCAGACCCGAAATTTTAGTGAAGTTTTTCAAAAGCTTAGAAGTTGTCTTATCTCCGGTATTTCAAGCATCCGCTATTGTTGTGGTGGAGTTTTTTTGAAAAGTTTCAATGGCAGAATCTACGGAGAGGAGATCAACTGAGTCTACAAGTAGCCCCATGGCTACAAGCAGCTTTGGGCGTTGGACCCCCATGTCCCACGCTAAGTTCGAGGTAGAAAAGTTTGATGGTAGCAGCAACTTTGGAATATGGAGATGCGAAGTTAAAGATATGCTTGTCCAGATGAACCTGCACTTCACTCTGGGAGACAAACCAGATGACATGGACGAGATAGAATGGGAGAAAGTGAATCTCTTGGCCTGCAGTTTCATCCGACTTTGCCTTGCAAAAGAGGAGAAGTACGCCTTCACAGAATATGATACTGCAAAAGAGCTTTGAAAGGCGCTAGAAGACAAGTTCATGACAACGAGCAATGAGAACCGGCTCTACTTAAAGAAGAGATTGTTTCATTTCGACTACAAGAAAGGTATTTCAATGAACGAACACCTGAACAATTTCAACAAAATTATTGCCGATTTGAAAAACTTGGATGTTCAAATTGATGATGAAGATAAAGCACTGTTATTGTTGAATTCCTTGCTTAACACATATGATCATCTCACCACCACTTTACGGTATGGTAAAGAAAAGATCAAGTATGTTGATGTTTCAAACGCCTTGGTAAACAATGAGTTCAGAAGGAAAGATAAGTCTGCAAACAGGGATTCAGCATCAGAGGCATTGACAGTCAGAGGCATGACGAATAACAGAAGATATACAGGGCGAGGAAAGTCTTGCTCAAAATCCAGAGGGAGATCATCAAATAGAAGACGTCTTCCAAAAGATGAGTGTGTTACATGTCACTAGAAGGGGCATTGGACAAAAGATTGTCCCAATAAAGACAAGAAAGAGGAAAAGGTGAACGTTGCACGAGATGGAGATAATGGTGAAGGATTAGCCTTCACAGTTTCATCACATGGCCAGTCTGATGAATGGATTCTAGATTCCGAATGTTCCTACCACATGTGTCCTAACAAGTAGTGGTTCTCAAGCTTTTGAGAGTTCGATGGAGGAGTTGTGTTGATAGGCAATGACCAAGCTTGTAGAATAAAGGGGATTGGAACAATTCGACTGAAGATGCATGATGTAACAATCAGAATTCTTGAAGATGTTCAGTATGTACCAGATTTGACAAAGAATCTTATCTCAGTGGGAGTTTTAGATTCCAAAGGTTACAGAGTAACTGTGGAAAGTGGAGTCCTCAAAGTTGTTAGAGGAGCATTTATTGCAATAAAGGATACTCGGAAGGGAAATTTATATTTCTTAGACGGCTTTAAGTCACAGGGAGAGTGGTTGTCTCCACTAGCTTAGAAGATGATACATCAGACACTTCCAGACTTTGGCACATGCGCTTAGGGCATACTGGAGAAAAGACTTTACAAGGGTTGATAAAGTAAGGACTGTTGAAAGGCACTAAAACAGGGAAGCTTGAGTTCTGCGAGCATTGTGTACTGGGCAAGCAAACAAAAATCAAGTTTGGTACTGCTATTTATCATACCAAACGGATTCTAGACTACATCCACACTGATATATGGGGTCCTTTCAAGAATGCTTCTTTGGGAGGTAAACACTACTTTGTGTCATTCATTAATAATTTCTCAAGAAGAGTATGAGTTTACACAATGAAGCATAAAGATGAAGTATTAGACATTTTTCTTACGTGAAAGAAAATGATTGAGACCCAGATAGGCAGGAAGATCAAGAAGCTCAGATTAGACAATGGCGGTGAATACGCATTAGATCCCTTCTTTGAGGTTTGCTGGAATAAAGGGATAGTGAGACATTTCACAGTTAGTGGAACGCCACAGCAAAATGGAGTTGCAGAACGCATGAACTGCACTTTGGTGGAGAAAGTCCGATGTATGTTGTTACATTCAGGATTGAGCAAAGCATTTTGGGGTGAGGCATTGAACTATGCTCGTCATCTTGTCAACCGACTACCTGCTGCAGCACTAGATAACAAGACTTCCATGGAGGTATGGTCAGGAGTGCCAGCTACTGATTATGATCAACTATATATCTTTGGATGTCTAGCTTATTTTCATGTTACAGAATCTAAGTTGGATCCTAGAGCCAAGAAAACTATCTTTTTGGGCTTTAGTGACAGTGTCAAGGGATATAGACTCTGGTGCCCTGAATCAAAGAAAGTTGTCATTAGAAGAGACGTTACCTTTGATGAGTCTACAATGCTGAAGCAACCAAATCCTCAAGAAAATGATGAAACATTGAAGAAGTCAGTGCAGGTGGAGTTTGAGACTCCAGCGAAGACTGTTCAGACAGGCAACAATCCTAAAAAAGTTTCAATTGACAGCTCTGAAGAAGATTCTGAAGAGAGTTCAGATGAAAATGAAGATCTAGAGGCCCCATAACAGTCAGAACCCATTACAATCAAAAAAGAAAAAAGAGTTATTAAACAACCTAGTTGGATGACCGATATGGTGGCCTATGCACTTCCAATCATTGAAGATAATATTCCTTGCACTTTCAAAGAAGCTGTTCAAAATCCAGAAATGTCAAATGGAAGGAGGCTATGGATGGAGAGATCGGGTCACTTCACAAGAACCAAACTTGGGAGTTGGTGTAACTTCCAAAAGGCAAGAAAGCAATTGGGTGTAAGTGGGTTTACACCAAGAAAGAAGGCATCCTAGGTAGAGACAACATTAGATTCAAAGCTAGATTGGTAGCTAAAAGCTATGCCCAGAAGGAAGGAGTAGACTACAATGAGGTATTCTCACCTGTTGTGAAGCACACGTCTATTCGTATCTTACTAGCTTTGGTTACATAGTTTGATCTCGAGCTCATCCAACTCGATGTCAAAACTATCTTCTTACATGGAGATCTTGAAGAGGAGATATACATGTCCCAGCCAGATGGTTTCAAAGTTGTTGGAAAAGAGGATTGGGCTTGCAAATTAAAGAAATCGTTGTACGGGTTGAAGCAGTCTCCGAGATAGTGGTACAAGCGATTTGATCGGTTCATGACGGAAAAGAAATACACAAGAAGCCAGTATGATCATTATGTATATTTTCGTAAGCTTTCCGATGGTTCCCTCATCTATTTGCTCTTATATGTAGACGATATGCTGATTACATCTAAGAGCAAGGTAGAGATTGATAAACTTAAGGCACAGTTGGCAGGAGAGTTCAAAATGATGGATCTGGGTGAAGCAAAGAAAATTCTTGGCATGGAAATAAAAAAAAAACAGGAAGAAGGGCACGGTTTGTTTGACACAAACCCAGTATCTAAAAAAGGTATTAAACAGATTTGGCATAAATGGAAAAACAAAAGCTGTGTGTACACCATTGGCCTCTCATTTCAAACTTAGTGCTTTGATGTCTCCACGCACAGAAGAAGAACGAAAGCATATGACACAGGTTCCATATGCAAATGCAGTTGGTGCATTAATGTATGCTATGGTTTGTACAAGGCCTGACATCTCACTTGCTATGAATATGGTAAGCAGATATATGTATGATCCGAGAAAAAGTCATTGGCAAGCAGTGAAGTAGATCTTGAGGTACTTACATGGCACAATTAATATGGGTTTAAAGTTTGAGAGAGATCATAAACTCGGACAAAATTTGGTTAGATATGTGGAATCAAATTATGCTGGTGACTTAGACAAACGCTGGTCAACAATAGGGTATATATTTACGCTTGCTAAAGGGCAAGTGAGTTGGAGGTCAACGCTTCAGCCAACGGTGGCTTTGTCTACTACAGAGGTAGAGTACGTGGCAGTGATAGAAGCCTTTAAGGAAGCTATTTGGCTACATGGGTTGATTGAGGACTTGGGTATTGTTTAGAAGCACATTGAGGTGTACTGTAATAGTCAGAGTGCCATTTGTTTGGCAAAGAACCAGGTTCATCATTCCCGCACCAAGCACATTGATGTCCGTTTCCATTTCGTCCGAGAAATTGTGAAAGAATGGGATATTCTGCTTCAAAAGAATAGCACTGCAGATAATCTGGCCGATATGCTCACAAAAGTGGTTTCTGGGATCAAGTTTCAACACTGTTTGGACTTGGTCAACATCTCTTGGAATTGAGCACCTTCGGGTGCAGCAGTGTTGATCGATCACTATGTTGGATAGAGAATCCTCGCCAAGGTAGAGATTTGTTGAAGATTGGCTCAGATTTGCTTTGTTTGCTTTGTCAATAATGGCTGTTGATTGAAGAAAAAATTGAAGAAGTTAGACATTTTCAGCCGAGCTACTCACAGTAGGGTGGCTAATCTTGTTGGTTATTGGCGGTTGCCATAAATGTTGTCGGTGGCTTGTTGAAGACTTTGGCCCTCCATTTCATCTATAAATGGTTAGTGAATGGGAGGGGCTCAGTGTAGTGAGTTGAAGAGAGAATACAGAGCAGAGAGAGAGAATTACAGAGTGTGTAATTCTTTGTTCCAAATATAGTGAAATCCCCTGCCCGTGGACTTAGGCGATTTGCCAAACCACGTAAATCTTTGTGTGTTCTTGCTTGTGTGCTTGTGTGTAATTGTTTTCTGCTTCCTAGGCACAACAAAGCTAACTTCTTTTGGCCTCTATTTGTCTACTTTGAAACATTGGAAATAGTGATTCACTAAAAAATGTTTATAGTATTGCTTTGTTCTATGTAGTGGGAGATGAATTCCCAAAAAGTGCATGGCTGGTAAGCAAGATGGGAAGGTTAACTGCTGGGGTGCAATATAAACCACAATGTAAGCATTTTGCACTTCATGTCTGAACTACGAATTTGAAAGTTAAGTTCCTGCAGTCTTACTTAGCATTCTATGCTCTTTGCTTGGTTTAGAACTTCTCTTCTGTTTACTTTTAAGTTTGGCAAATTTTCTCAGGTTTCGGTTTTCAGCTCTTTATTTCTCTTTATTGTTTAATTGTCTCTTGGTGAATAATGGTTCTACTAGTGCTAAATACTAAACTGTCTTAGAGGTTTTGGTTTTTAACTCTTAATTTCTCCTTATTATTTAGCTGTCGTTTGGTGAATGATGTTTGTAGCACATGCTAACAGGATGTATTATCTTTTATAATGAACAATTGAACTTACAATTCCGTTGTAAAAACAACAAATATAATAGGAGAATTTGAAGAGAATAAAAAGAAGTATTTGTTAAGTTGTACTTAAATTATTAGATTAGATATCCAGTGGGGCCAAAGTTCTTTCCTCTGCTAATATAAAATTAATGCATATCCCAGCCTATTTAACTCTTATGATTATTTCATACTTGTTTCATCTCAAAAATTGCCTTACTGCTAATGCTGGCTTGGTTACATCAAATTATCTCAGACCATTTGTGTTTCATTTTTGGAGTTTGTGCCATGTTCCTCTCTACTTATTGCATTCTTGGGATTATAACATGATTTTTAGAAAACTGATTTTTTGTTCTCTTCATGGATGCTATTCTGCATAGTTGGAAGCAAAGATGGAGCAAAATACAAAAATTTAGCGAATTGGAGTTGTGCTATTGGCTATGGACTAGGATCAGACAGTCCTTTGAGCCCATCCTTTAATTTTGGTCTTGAACTTGCTAAAAGTTTACAGGTTTGTTTTATTATTTATCTTCTTGACTCTCTTTTATTTTCCCCCTTTATATGGGAACATTTACAAAAGACAGAGTTGATGATTTAAATAGAGGAGTAGGTCACCAGTGACTGGATCTAGGTTGCATATTCATGTGTGCATGGTCAATGCTGTTTATTGTATGACTTTCTAGCTGTGCAACGAAGATGCCAGTGTACCATGCTAATGGTGAGGATCTATATTGTTACAACGCAACCACCTATCCCTACGACTTACTACCATATCTTTGTGGTCATGTTTGATTCAAAAGACTAATAGTGAAGTATTAATAATCCTATTAAATTAGTGTAGGATTCACTATCCAATTGGATTAATATCCATTGGATTAATAATCCCACCCCTACCCCATTACTAATAATCCTACAAATTTGTTGGATTAATTATCCATTGGATTAATAATCCTAAACCAAAATGTTAAAACAAACATGAGATAATTGGGCCCACGGATTAATAATCCTAATCCCATGCTCTAATCCACCCAATCAAACATGCCCTGTCTGTACTGATGATTGTACTACAGTCTACAGCATAGTGTGTAACTCCCGCATTTGTTGGCAATTAAAGCATTAATGCATGAATATGTGCAATTTTTTTTAGTGTAAATCATGATTCTTATTTCATTATGTACTTTTTTACTGATATTTTGTGCATGGAACTTGCACTGCAGTTCATTGCCTCATTCTATCAACATGTGGTGGTCCAAAGACGGGGTATACTTCTCCCTCCCTCCCTCCCTCTCTCCCTCAGGTGCCCAAAAAGGATAAAAATTCAAAAGTGGTGAAGACGCAATAATACAGTGATCTGTTGGAAAAAAAAATAGAATCAAATTTGAAAATCTGCTCAGAAGAGTTTTTCTATTGTGTGCTTTATAAGTGTAGTGGACCCATCATGTTATTCATCCTAAACACAGATAAAGGGAGATGCATACTATCTACATGGGGTAGTGGTCTATTTTTTGTGCTTACCATTTATCATATGACACTGGTTAATATGTTTGCCTATGATATCTTAAAGTGCTGTTAGACAATCTTCACTGTAATTAAATTAATTAATTCTGTTTGGGTACTAAACGACAAACATAATATAAAAGAAAATAGAAAAGGAGAGAGAATGTTTGATTACAAAAATAAACTAGAAATAGAATTAAATAAATAAAAACAGATTTTATTTTGTTACAAAAACAAAATTAAAATTTGATTTAAATAAATAATAAAAACGGAAAATAAATAAATAATTTACTTGATTAATATCTTGAATATTATTCTGATCAAGTCCAGTGTTTGACACTATGTCTTTAAGAAAGATTCGTCCTCTCCACGATGTTTTCAGAATATGGACGTCTATCTCCCAGGATGAAATGATCAACAACAAATAAATACAGCATTACAATTTATTTGTTCAACAAACACACTTAGTGTATACACTCTTTTAGACAGGAAAAATAATAGAATAAATGTAGCAAAATGCAGAGATGAAATTGCAGCAAGGATGGACGAAAATTGTGAATTAATCATCAAATGAGAGCTAGTCTATTTATAGATGTAGTGGCACCCTTTTAATTTGAATTGAACAGGTACTGAACCTGTTGGGTTTGAATTGGTACTGATTGAGTTTAAATTTGAACAGATAAAAATCGAATAACACAGATTTGAATTTGTCCGGGTTATTTGAATTTAAACAGAGTCAAATCTGTTCGGGTGGGAGAAAACCGGACCCAATTTTGAATTTAAATTCCGAAAATCAAATTGGACAAATTAGAATTTAATTTTAGAAAAAATAAAATTCAAATGTTTTTGGCCCAAAAAGATTAGTATTGGGTCGAACAAGCCCAACCTAACCACACACCATGCACCCACGCCCAAGCCCAGCCCAGTCCTCCTGACCGGGCGAACGGCGGCGGCGCGCGCGCGTGTGTGTGGTGATTTTTGGGTCCAATGGGTTTAGCCCATTTTGCTCATAACCTCTCCCTTCTACAAACTTGGGGTGCCCCTTGGGGCCCTCCCCAAGTTATAATTCCAAGCTATATAAATTCATCCAAAACTTCCCACCAAACCAATGTGGGACAAGCCTTATTCAAAACTTTAAGAATTTTCCACCCAAAACTCCATTTCCATGGAGCACACTTTGGCTTCAATTTCCCATTCACTCGATAATGGTTTTGAGCAACCAAATATACCACGTAAATCACAACGCGGCATAGAACACGTTACCACTTTGACCTGCGAAAATCGACGCTCGGGTCCCACCTAAAAATTAGACCAAAGTTAGGAAAAAATTCTGTTTTTACCTCGAATTTTCCCACCATTTCTAACAATCCCCCCCATGAATGGAATTTGATGACAACGGAAATGCAACAATATACAGAATTTGTCGAAAGAGTATAAGTCAAAAATATCTTGCATCAGGATAGGTAGCTTTCGGCCTTGAACCTTCCCTAGTGATAACCTATTGAACTTACTAGCTAACCAATGGATGCGATGTCTTGAATTGTTCAGCCGTTTGTGTAAGCCAAGACAATAGATTTCACACAAAATATCTTTTAACACATCGTGATTCTCACTGTTGTATTCATTTTGGCCTTGAACGCTCCTAGTTTTCATGAGTGTTTCTAGAGAATTTAGCATCTTTCATTCTCATAGAACCGGCCCCAGTTCGACACTCGTGTAGGTGATTCTTATTGTGAGTATCTGCTTATACTCGTCTTGATTTTATGCCTTAATCAAGATATAAGTAATCATTAAAAGCAAAGCTTATCCTTATACCCCTGCATACAACATATGTTGTAGATATCACTCTCACCATAGGAATAGGTAGGGAAATTTTAATCCCTTGGTGATTTTTGGCGAGCCACGCATAACTTAGTTGTCGCTTTGAACTCAGTTCTTGGGATCTCCAGTCATATAAGTAGGGTTACCATTATGATGACTCTTATGTAATAGGCTTTAATCTAATCCCCTTCGATGAACTATACACAAGCTCTTTTGTCAAACATTTTGTTAACGGATCCGTAATTTTAGATTTTATATAATTTATTGAGATTATTCCATTTAACAACAATTTCCTTACGGTATTATGTTGACGATGAATATGTCGTGACTTACCATTATACATATGATTCTGTGCTCTGCCTATTGCAAATTGATTATCACAATGAATGCAAATAGCTGGCACAGGTTTTGGCCACATTGGAATGTCTTCTAAGAAGTGACGAAGCCATTTTGCTTCTTCTCCTGCTTTGTCTAAAGCAATGATCTCGGATTCCATTGTGGATCACGCAATGCATGTTTGTTTTGTGAATTTCCAAGAAACAGCAGCGCCTCCCAGAATAAAGACATATCCACTAGTGGATTTTGAATTTTTAGTATCCAATCCAATATCCAATTTGCATCATAATAACCTTCGAGTACTGCTGGATATCGAGTAAAGTTCAAACTATGATTACGGGTAAATCTTAGATATCTAAGAACCCGAATAATCGCTTTCTAATGGTCTTCTCTGAGGTTACTAGTGTACCTACGCAATTTACTAACTGCATAAGCTATGTCAGGACGAGTACAATTCATTAGGTACATTACGCTTCCAATGATTTAGGAGTATTTTAACTGAGACACCGCATCACCTTTATTTTTCGATAAATAAAGACTGATGTCTACAGGTGTTCTAGCTATATTCATATCATCACTGATAAATTTACCAAGAATTTTCTTAATATAATGTGATTGAGATAATGCATATCCGTCAGATGTTTTAATAATTTTCATTCCTAATATAACATCTGTGACCCGCATATCTTTCATATCAAATCTTTGTTAAGCATTTTCTTAGTTGATTTGATCATGTTTTGACTGCTTCCAATGATAAGCATGTCATCCACATAAAGACAAACTATGACATATCCTTGGTCAGTGTTTTTAATATAGACGCATTTGTCACATTCATTTATCTTAAACCCATTAGTAAGCATTGCATGATCAAATTTTTCATGCCATTGCTTAGGTGCTTGTTTTAATCCATAAAGAGATTTTACAAGCCGACAAACTTTCTTTTCTTGCCCCGACACTACAAACCCTTCGAGTTGCTCCATATAGATCTCTTCATTTAGATCACCATTTAAGAAAGCTTTTTTAACATCCATTTGATGTATTTCTAAATTAAACAACACTGCTATAGCAATAAGCATGCGAATGGATGTTATTCTTGTCACAGGGGAATATGTGTCAAACTAATCCAGACATTCCTTTTGTCTGTAACTTTTTACTACAAGTCTTGCTTTATACTTGTCAATTGAACCATTTGTTTTCATTTTTCTCTTGAATATCCACTATATCCAAGAGGTTTAGAACCAAGTGGAAGATCTACCAGTTCCCAAGTATGATTTTGCATAATGGATTCAATTTCATTATTAACAGTCTCTTTCCACAAAGGTGCTTCAGGACTTGTCATTGCTTCCTTAAAGCTTTGAGGTTCATTTTTTAACAAGTATGTCAGAAAATCTGGACCAAAGGATTTTGATGTTCTCGCTCTCTTACTTCGTCTTGGTTCATCATCAGTTAAATCCTGTTGGTCGAGACCATTACTAGTCTCTTGTGTTTGATTATCATTAGTCTCTTGACTTTGTATACAATCATAAGTTCTTTTCTGTGAACTTAATTTCTGTCATTTCTTATAAGGAAAGACATGTTCAAAAAACACAACATTCCTTAACTCTATAATATTGTTCACATTTATATTAGGTATTTCTGATTTATAAGTCAGAAACCGATATGCACTACTATTCTGAGCATAACCAATAAACACACAATCTACTGTTTTTGGTCCAATCTTAGTCTTTTTAGGAACAGGAACTTCAACTTTTGCCAAACACCCCCACACTTTTAAGTATTTGTAGGAAGGTGGTCGGCATTTCCACAATTCATAAGGAGTGCTGTTGGTTTTCTTGTGGGATATTCTGTTAAGAACATAATTAGTAAACAATATTGCTTCCCTCCACAAGTTCTGTGGTAAGCTTGAACTTAGTAACATGGCATTCATCATTTCTTTAAGGGTTCTATTCTTCCTTTCAGCAATTCCATTTTGCCGAGGAGAATAGGATGTTGTAGTTTGGTGAATAATGCCATGTTGTGCACAAAATTCATTTAATGGTGCATCATATTCACCACCCCTATCACTTCTAACCATTTTAATGGTTTTACCAAGTTGATTTTCAACTTCAGTTTTGTAGAGTTTAAACATTACTAAGGCTTCATCTTTGCTTTTAAGTAAGTATACATAACAATATCTTGAGCAATCATCGATAAATGTTATGAAATACTTTTTGCCTCCTCTAGTTTGAACAAATTTAAGATCATATACATCTGTATGAATTAATTCTAGAGGTTCAGTTTTCCTTTCAACCGATTTAAATGGAGCCTTAGTTAGTTTCGCTTCTACACAAATTTCACATTTATGATTAGGATTAATTTCAAACTTTGGTATATAATCTAAACCAATTAATCTACGCAAAGCATCAAAATTCACATGCCCTAATCTATCATGCCATAAATTTGACTCAAGAATATAAGCAAAAGATGTGTTATTCTTATTCATAGCAACTTTTTGGTACAACTGTCATTACATTTAATTTGAAGAGACTCACTCATGTATCCCTTACCAACATACATACTACTCTTTGATAATACAAATTTATCAGACTAAAAAACAAGCTTAAAACCATTTTTACTTAACAAAGAGCCAGAAACTAAATTCTTCCGGATGTCAGGTACATGCAGTACGTTGTTAAGGGTCAGTTCTTTCCCTGATGTCATCTTCAAGATCACCTTTCCTTGTCCAGCCACAGTAGAAGTAGAAGAATTTTTCATGAAAAGTTGTTCACCATTTGCTGCCTCATTGTAGGTAGTGAACATCTTCTTGTCCGCACATATGTGACAAGTTTCTCCAGTGTCAACCAACCACTCTTTGGAATTTCCAACTAAGTTAGCCTCAGACACCACAGCAGTGAGGGTAATGTCATTTACCCCGTCAGAGATGTAATCTAATTCTGTCACATTGGCTTGATTGGTAGTCTTCTTGCTTGTACTTCCACAATCCTTCTTAGGGCGGCGGCAGTCAGAAGCTTGATGTCCAGTTTTGCCACAGTTATAGCATTTTCCTTTGAACTTCTTGTTGCCATTGTTGTCGCCTTATTTAGGACCATCTCTAGTAAATTTCTTCTTTTTGTTATGTGGTTTGTGAACTTGTTCAACAACATTAGCCTTGGACTCAATGAAATTTTTCCCATTCTTCTTTTCAGCCTTACGGTTATCTTCCTCAATTCTCAGTCTTACAATAAGTTCATCCATGATTATCTCTTTGCGTTTATGTTTTAAATAATTTTTGAAATCTTTCCAAGCCGGTGGTAACTTTTCCACTAAAGCAGCGACTTGGAAAGACTCGCTCAGAGACATACCCTCAGAATGAATATCATGTAAAATTAATTGAAAACTTTGAACTTAAGAAATTACCATTTGGGAGTCTACCATAACGAAGTCTAGAAATTTACTGACAACAAATTTCTTCGTGCCGGCATCCTCTGTCTTGTATTTCTTGTCCAAAGAATCCCACAATTCTTTTGTTGTTTTTAGAGGGCTGTAAACATTATACAGCATGTTATCAAGGCCATTGAGGATGTAGTTTCTGCATAGGAAATCTGAATGTTTCCAAGCATCTACAGCGGCAACAACTTGCCGATCACTTTCACCCTTTTTAAGTGCTGGAGCCTCTTCACGGAGAAACCAGGCCAAATTTAGAGTTGTAAGATAGAATAACATCTTCTGCTGCCATCTCTTAAACTCAGTACCGTTAAATTTTTCCAATTTTTCTCCATGATTTATTGGTACTTGAACATGGTTCTGGATAGAGACCGGTGTTGGTGTAACAGTTGGAGTGCCACTTCCAGTTGCAGTTTCAATTGCAGTAACCATAAAATCTGATTACAAAAATCAGGAAAAACAAACCACAAATTAATTTTCTAGTCACTAAAACCAGAAAATAAATTATAACACAAAATAATTTTATTTTTCTTGTTACTAAAACCAGAAAAATAAAATACCACAATAATTTTCTGTAACACCAAATAATATTCTGCAATTGTTAATGACACCAATATATTACTACTAGTTGTCAAAGAAAATAGACAGTATATTACTACAATCTGTCAAATAGTTTATAATACTATTTGTATTTTCCAATCAGAATATCACTTTGAAAACACAAAAAATTAAATACAATGAAGACACAAAAAACGGTTCTGTCTTAAGATTGTTGGACAATCTTCACTGTAATTAAATTAATTAATTCTGTTTGGGTACTAAACGACAAACAGAATATAAAAGAAAAATAGGAAATGAGAGAGAATGTTTGATTACAAAAATAAACTAGAAATAGAATTAAATAAATAAAAACAGAAAATAAATAAATAACTTACTTAATTAATATCTTGAATATTATTCTGATAAAGTCCAGTGTTTGACACTGTATCCTTAAGACAGATTCGTCCTCTCCATGGTGCTTTCAGAATATGGACGTCTATCTCACAGGATGAAATGATCAACAACAAATAAATGCAGCACTACAATTTATTTGTTCAACGAACACACTTAGTGTATACACTCTTTTAGACAGGAAAAATAATAGAATAAATGCAGTAAGATGCAGAGATGAAATTACAGCAAGGATGGACGAAAATTGTGAATTAATCATCAAATGAGGGCTAGTCTATTTATAGATGTAATGGCACCCTTTTAATTTGAATTGAACAGGTACTAAACCTGTTGGGTTTGAATTGGTACTGATTGAGTTTAAATTTGAGTAGATAAAAACTGAATAACACAGATTTGAATCTGTCCAGGTTATTTGAATTTAAACAGAGTCAAATCTGTTCGAGTGTGTAACGCCCTCTAAATTAAGTACATAACCAATCATCCATGACATCAATAGATAAAGGAGAAATAAACATATATTCATTTATCAGAGTATTCATTACAAAAGTATTACATGTTGACAACAAAAGTAAATGTCCTATGGGCTTACAACTTTCCAAGTCAACACTTGGTTAGAACAAAAAAGAGTTCTAACTCTTAGCATATTTAAGCCATTGGCCTGAATTACATGTAATACAAAGATAATCACAAAAATAAGCCTTCAGCTTCTAAACCTTCCAAGCTACGTCATTGGAAGTGGCATATCACCTGTACCTGAAAATGGTGTCCCATATAGGGTGAGCCAAAGTCCAATAGAGATATACTAAACCAAATATGAGAAATAACTAAAACATTAGCATTTGATAAATGTTTAACTCATATTATTAACCAACGTACATCTCTTCCACAACCAAACCATATTCACAATCATGTTTCAATCCTTTTCCGTTTCATTATCCAAATCAATTCATAGATACGATTCATTGTTTATCCGAACAGTGTCAAATGAGATTACAACTCATACTATCAACACTCCAATCATAATCAATTTAAAATGATGCTACAACTTATATCGTTAATACTTCAATTCAAAATGAGACTACAACTCATATTATTAATACTTCAATTCAAAATGAGACTACAACTCATATTATTAATACTTCAATACTTCAATTCATCTACGTTATGCAAACGTAATCAAGATTTCAGGACTTTCACCCTGGACACTCCGACCAACTTAGTTATCAATGGAGTCCATCCCTTATCTCCTCCCAACAGGTTTGAGAGTACATCCCCTATCTCCTCCCCAAACCATGGAGTTCATCCCATTTCTCCTCCCAAACACGATACATATGCAATGTATTTAAACACTTTATCATATACAATGATCAATCCAGACACATAATCAATGTGTTAATTCAACCGTCATATTCAATGACATTCTAGATGATTAGTTTCAATTTCCCTAATTAACATGCAGTGTCTACAACAATCAAGACTATCCTCCACCGATAGCCCAAAGCAATTATTTCTAAACAGATAATAAATTATCAAACTGATAAATTATCTACAATTTCAAAGGTGAGTGATTAATCAATCCAACTACACCATTCAATCTTATAATTTCCCAATTTCATGATTTTCAACTCAATTTCATATTTCCATATTTCTCAAATTAATTATACAAATTAATCAATCACATTAAATTAGGGCTTTTTTCTCATTTTCTCAAATATTGCACCCAAGACCAAATTTCATCAATCATACACAATAACATCATTTTAGGGACCACTCATACACTTGGAACCCCAAAAATAGAAAACCCCTCTTTTATAATTTCAATTTCAAACCCTAACTTTTCTAAAACTCCCAAACAACACCATCTATACAAGATACATAACGTTTATGTTAAAACTCATGGAAAGGAGTAGGTTATCCCTACCTCAAGTTTCGGAACTCAAAGGAGAAGATGAACCAAGCAAGTGGTGAATTCCAAAGGTGGCGAAATCAACTTCTATTCGGATAGAAATTGAGGTCTTGAGAAGCTCCAACACTTTGATGAAGACACAAGGGTTGGGTCTCACTAAATCAAGATCAAAATGTAGAGAGAGAGAGAGTACTCTAGAGAGAGAAGCTCTCAAATTAGGGTTTTGGAGTGCTTTAGAGAGAGAGAGGGTCGAAAAAAGTGATTCAAAAAGCTTCTTCTTGGATTGAAATACACACAGTCCGCTCCCGCTCGAGCGTCAGACACAGACTCCCGCTCGAGAGTGAAAACGGACGCTCGAGCGTCGAAAACACAATTCCAGCTTCTGCAGGCCTGCGAAAAATACTGAAGGTTGAAGAATCCCGCTCAAGCGTCAAACTGCTCGCTCGAGCGGAGGAGCAAATGCAAAAGGGCCCGCTCGAGCGTGAAAAGTCCCGCTTGAGCGGGGAGGCCAAAATCTAGGCATTTACTTTTTGTTTCTAAACACAACCAACATGTTTCAAACCTGCCCAACACATTCCAAAACTCAAATACAAAGAATTAAAAGACGGAAACGCGATAAAGACAACAACAACCATGACAGAACCCAAGTTCGGAATACAATAAACAATGGAGGGAAAACCGGGATCGCTATAGGGTGGGAGAAAACCGGACCCAATTTTGAATTTAAATTTCGAAAATCAAATTGGACAAATTAGAATTTAATTTTAGAAAAAATAAAATTCAAATATTTTTTCCCCAAAAAGATTAGTATTAGGCTGAACAAGCCCAACCCAACCATACACCAACGCCCAAGCCCAGGCTAGCCCGCCCGACTGATCAGACGGTGCACGTGTGGTGATTTTTGGGTCCAATGGGTCTAGCCCATAACCTCTTCCTTCTACAAACTTGGGGTGCCCCTTGGGGCCCTCCCCAAGTTATAATTCCAAGCTATATAAACCCATCCAAAACTTCCTACCAAACCAATGTAGGACAAGCCTTGTTCAAACCTTTAAGGATTTTCCACCAAAAACTCCATTTCCATGGAGCACATTTTGGCTTCAATTTCCCATTCACTCGATAATGGTTTTGAGCAACCAAATATACCACGTGAATCACAACGCGGCATAGAACGCGTTACCACTTTGACCGGCGAAAATCGACTCTCGGGTCCCACCTAAAAATTAGACCAAAGTTAGGAAAAAAATTCTGTTTTTACCTCGAATTTTCCCACCATTTCTAACAAGTGCAACATGGTGCTTCAGAGTAGGAACTATCTGTGATATTTCTTCATTGTTTCATGAACTTTCTTAGTGTTGAAGTTCGATAATATGTTAGATTCTAGTGAAGTCCATGCGAATAGAGTCTTAGTAGATGTTGAATTGCACTTATGCAAGTGGTGTGAGAAATGAGTATAGGAGGCAGGATGTGAACAAAAGCTGATAAAATGGCTTCGAATAAATATGGGAAACACACGGGAAATTGTTTAATTCAAGAGATAATTTGAATAACTATGCAAAACACCTAGACCTTGGCAGAATTAAAAAATCTGGAATAAACCTTGACATTTTCACTTCAAAGAGTCCATAGCTCTAGGTCGTGGTACTTCGAATCGGGATTTCCAAAAGCCATATAATAATTCATTGCATCTTGCTTTTGAGCCTGACTTACATAATATTACTCCCTGAAGCTGCTTTCCTAAAAGGTTTACGTAAGGTCTCTCCTTTGTTACTTAAGGGGAAAGATAGAAGCTGGATTTGTTCTGGGAAAAGTTTTTGATGACTACTTGTGGCGGCTTGTTTAGGTATTTAAACAGCTAGATTTTCCTCATACTGCCTCTTGCTATTACATGGGTGAAGAACCCACTTGAAGAAAATGAAGTGGTTGGAATTACAAACTACATCGACTTTGGTATTGAGTTACAGGCAAGGTAAGTGATTACTGTAGAATTCCATTAATGCTGTTTGGAATGGGATCTAAATTCAGTCTAATCTTGTGGCAAAGGGTTGATGACAAACCATCAAATGTGACTCCAGACTCCACTTTCCAATTTGCTGCATCTTGGCAAGCCAATAAAAATTTCTTGTTGAAGGTAGAGTTTGATGCTTTCCTTAATTGAATCCATGGATCACACTACAAGTTGAATAACTATCCATGTACCATCTTATCAGGGAAAGGTGGGGCCTTTCAGCTCATCTGTAGCTTTCGCACTCAAGTCATGGTGGAAACCTGCTTTCACTTTCAGTATTTCAGGTATTTCTCTCTGATAGATTTTTTGATCCATTGATACTGGAATTTTTTTTTCTCTATATGATTTAAGAAACCTCTATCAATGTAATTTTATCTTATTTTGAGAATTTGATGTGAGTTTACATTCTTCTTATTTTCGATAAGTTATCTATTTCTAGAAATTCATACAGCCATTGTGTCATATTATATCTAGAGTCTTCTTATGGCCCGTTTCCTTGACAAGATAAATTGCAAGCTAAATTGTAGAATTGATGGTCTGCCATCTCTCTCTTTCTCTCTGTCGTGACACTATCAACTTGCCTTTGTTTCGTGTCCAAAGACTTTTGGAAAATCTGTTAAGCCCATGCTTCTGGATTGATCGGTTTTGAAATTTGTTTAAAAAACATAATTGTACTTTTCAACAATTGAGTCCTTGTTTCACAACTTCAGATGAAACAAAAGACGTAACATCTCTTTGTAGATGGACAATAGATAAAACATGGTCTGAGCAAATATTTCCATTGGGCCACAGCTACAAGTGGTCATACAGTTGGGAAGACAGCTTTTGGATTTGGCATCAGTGTTGACAATGTTAGAGAAGCAAGGTTAGTTTTATTTTCATTTTGTTCATTCAAAAATGGCATTCCCATTGGAGTGCAAGCTTATCAAGTTTGAGAATGGAGGTTAACTTTGTTGGTTCAGAGCCTGATAATTGGTGCTTCTGATTCAAACCCATCCTATCCTGCCCTGTTCTCAAGTTCACAGGATCATAGGATTAATTGCCAGCTTTTCTTTAACTGATTGCTTATATGATTGTTTTTTTCTACTATATAATGCAGTTATCAGAGAGCCGATCCAAATTTTGTAATGCTGACACCAAACAAGGAGCATTTAGCTGATGGAATTCAGTGGAAATTTGGGAATAGACCCGTCCTTCAATCAGATATAAATTCTGGGAATTTTGACGGCATACCTAGGGAATTGAGACCCTTGGGAAGAATTTTGTAGTTCTATTGTTATAATTTCTTTCTTTATTTTATTTATTTTTATATATTTTGTATTGTCTTTTGTGAAGTAGCCACTAGGCTAGTGCTACAGCTTAACTAAATCCTCTAATTTCATAAATTTAGATGAGACTGTCTGTATTGCCTACTCTGAGTTTTTGTGTTGATAAATGTTTGACCATGACCCATGATCATAAAATTTTATTCACTTTTTTTTTTTTTCATTTTTTTTTGCACTAGTAGATGCACAGGGAAAGAAAAAATCGACATGAAAATGCTCTAAGCCACAAAGGTAACCGTAGCCCTGTGATTAAGGAACTGAAGTGGGGACAAGTTGTTATAAAAAAAAGAACATTGATAGAGACCCCTCCAATCACCACCCCCACAACCCACACACACGTGGCAGGTGATAATTGGAGGAGAATGAAAAAAAAAAAAGTAAAAGAAAAAGTAACCAATCAAAAAAGAGAGGGGGTCAAAAGGGGTAAGGAGAAAGGGGGTCTTATACATTTTTGTAAAAAAAAATTGGATTCAATTCTCACTAACGTTTCTTGAATTTAAGGCCCAGTTTGTTTTCAGAGGTAGAATGGAAAGGACTGTTAGTGAGGGGACTACTAGTGAGGGGATTAAGAAAATTGTGTTTGTTTGATAATCAACGGACTAGTAATAGTTCATGTTTGTTTTGAGAGATATGGATAGGATTAACCATGTGAAATTTCACAAATGCCCTTTTTGTATTATTATCAAATTTAGACTTATACCAACTAAAGAATAAATAAATTTTTACTCAATGCTATTCTTTTTTTCTTTTTCTTTTTTTAATTATTAAAGAATCCAATTATCAAAAAAATTTAGTCAATGTTATTTATTTATTTATTAATATTAATGAATCCAACTATCAATAAATTTGTAGTCAATATTATTCTCTCTTCTTTTTTTATTTTTTTATTATGTTTTGTAAATATTAAATAATCCAACTATTAATAAACTTGTACTCAAACAACACCTTCCATACTGTGCTGAGTACGAAAGACAAAATGCTCAACAATCGTGTCTCCCTCCTGTTACCCTGCAGCATAAGTTTAAATCTTACCACCACGCACACAAAAAAGCACACACATGCCTACCTATTTCAAAAAAATATCAATATAATTTATTTAGAGAAAACTTAAATGGGCAAGACATGTAGTTCAAATGTCCACTAAACTGTATGCTTGAGTATAATTCCTGAAAAGGTTCCTTAACAACTCCTAGCCTAAAGTGGTAGGCACATGCAAACTCAATAAACATTAATATCAAACAGTATCAAATAATATAGTTTTAAACTCAATAAACTCAAATGTCACATAAATGATAAATGTGCAAAAATTGTCTTGTTATCTGGCATTACAATTATAGTTTTAAATAATAGTATTGACATATTAGTTTTGGCTGTACAATTAAATATCAAATAATATCAAACTTATATATCAGATCAGTATCAAAAGTTAAAAATCCTAATACAGCTGATATTTAAAATCCTAGTCACAACATCAAACATATTCCCACTAATTCTAGTTGTCTAAATCAGCAAAAGTGAAACCTAAGCGAGGTCTCAACTGTCCGTCTTCCTAAGGAGGTTGATCTGAGAAAGTGAGCCACCGAGCGAGGCTTCACCTTTCCATCTTCTGATCCAATGAAATGGACTTGAGGCTTAATTTTGTTTATTTAATTGATTGGGATCAAAATTAACAAGATGGTTTAACACTACTGAAAATGCACTCCGACAATAGCTTGCTAGTTTGTTCCAATGGAATTGAAGAAATTGGTTGGTATATATTTTCATGAAATAAAAAAGAGAAGAGAACTTTGTTTGGGCTATCACCTATGTGAGCTTGCAGAAGATATATGTATACATATATCGTTTGAAAATTACAATTTTACTTAAAAAGGGAAATTCTTGGTAAACAATTAAGGAGAAAAAAGGGAAAGAAAATGTCTAGAAAAAAAAAATTAAAATCAGACTACATGCCATTGCAACAATTCAACAACTATCATAAATAATATAGACATTCTTTCTAGTAATGATTATGCCAAATGCAACGGTTTTTATGGTTTTCATTGATGAGTACAACTGTACAAAATTCATATCACTTTCAATCAATTGAAAATCATTTTCATTTTTCTGTCAACTCAAGCATTAAAGGAAAAACCACTGTATTAGCTTATTAATACAAATCATGTGGACGAGATATTTATTGATCATTTCTTGATGATAGTATGATCAAGAAAGCCAAGCCAGAGCATGGACAACTGAACAATCCACGTCAGCTGAAGAACAAGAATATATTTCTACAAGGAGGACAATTTCTCCCCAGTTACATAAAATGGTGATTTATTGTTTGGGTCGATATGATCTTGAGATTCATATTGCCTTCAACACTTTCTTTATCCAGTCATCATCTAACAGTTGATCCAAAGACCACATTTGTCGAATGAAGAAAGTGCTAGCTAGAGAGGATCATCTTCCATGATCTTGGTATTGGATTAGTAATCCAACATAACACGTAATTCAATGTTTGGCTATGAAAATTGGGTTTTGAACTAATAATTCATTTAGACATGGTATTGCCCATATGGGTAGAATTCCAAGAAAAGGGTGAGATAAATCAAACAAATCACTAATTTGAAAATTCAGGATCATTAAATCATCTTACAATTATCTCATCAGTACCAAAACCAAAAAATGAATCAAACATTGAAGGAAGCTAGATAGAACATGATCTGAGCCATTAGAAACGCTATAATACAAAAAATAAATAAAATAAAATAAAAAATTTATAGCATCATTCATTCAAGAAATCAAACAAGACCATAATTCAATGCTCCGTTTGGTTCCTAAGTAAACAAAAGAAAACAGGAGGTTTACATCTTAAAATTTTCTCATTTTCATTCATTGTGAACCAAGGGAACAAGAAATCTCAAGAATTTAACCGTTTGCCTTTTTTCTTATATTTTCCAAGAATCAAATTCAACGTGAAAATAACCATTTATAAGATTCCAAATGTATTTTACTTTTCATTCCTCTGTTTTTCTCAGCAAACAAACAAAGATGATTGTGCAAACAATGCCAAAAGTGATGGAATCTAAATTACCTGTAAATTGAAATCTGTAAATAACGCTCCAAATTTGTGGCTGATCTGATGAAATCAATACAAAGAGAAACACACAAAGAGGCAGAGAGAGAGCATTAATAATTTCAAGATTAACTGTCGTTATGATGCTAAAAGCCTTCCTCTTATTTTATTCAGTCAATATAATTTCCAACTTGATCAAATTACATGATATAGTGAGCTTAAAAGCCTTCCTATTATTTTATTCGGTCAATAATATTTTACGTTATCAGTTTGCAGAAAGGATGCAAAATGTTTTTGGAACTCTTTAGTTGACATGTTGATTTGCAATGCCTTGGCCAATAAGACCACAAATAGAGCGAGAGAGAGAGAGAGAGAGAGAGTACAGATTAAAGTTCAGATCTGAGTTTCTGGAAATCACTGATTCTCTGAATCTCTGCAAATGAGGATCAAGTAAGAATGACTTAAAACATTGATTTCATAGATCTAAAGAGAGAGAGAGAGAGAGAGAGAGACGGTGGAGCTCGCTACCTTGCCAGTGCAGATGGTGTTGTCGATGGAGCTTCAAAATCGCTTCGATCGGAATCTTCGTTGGAGTTTAGATCTGAATCTTCGATGGAGCTTCGAAATCGCTTCGATGGAGCTTCGATCTGAATCTTCGATGGAGCTTAGAAATCGCTTCGATGGAGCTTAGAGAGGGTTGAGAGAGAGAGAGAGATGTGTGCGTATAAGGGTTGAGAGAGAGAGAGAGAGGGGCTCAGATTCAAAATGTGCTTAAAAAAAAGCGCGTGTGGCTACCGCATTTCGAGGCATTTCCAAACGCCTCCGATTATAAAACGACGTAGTTTTATTTTAAAAAAATATGCGGCGTTGTTAAATATTAATAACAGTGACGTTTAAAAAAACGTCGTTAAAAAAACGTCACCATATCTCCTTTTTCCTGTAGTGATTTCTCCAAGAAGTTCAAAGCCCAATGCAGATAATAGAAGTTGTGGACATTGAATTGTTCAATGACAAGGTCAAACCTCAAAGATTCAACAGATAATTGTGTATGATGACAACTTTGAAAAAGTGTCACCACCAGCAATCACATGAGATATATCAACATGAAGTGTAACACTCCCATACATAAAATGACAGTTAAATGACAATACAGTTTTAGTTGTCCATTGTTAGATTGGGTCATTTATCTGAAAGCTTCAACTCAAAGCTAAAGCACCAAGACAATTCTAAAAATAAAATAATATTATAAAATTAATAGAGGCAATACAAAATTATAATATGTTAATTAAACGAAGTTGTAAATATATTGTACTTGAAAACAACTCCACCTATCATCTGTACAATTAGCAGTTAGTGGTTCAAGCTTCTTAAGGAGGAGACCATGGAGGCGCAATACAACCTTAAGAACATTATTGAAGTGCTTACTAATTGTTTGACCACTCCTCATGAAATTAAATTTAATTTTACGGTTCTTAGTATGATGTGCAAGCACATTCAAAAACATTGCTATTTGCTCCTCTAAGATGACATACTTTGAATCAGATAATCCGACACTTGGCACCAACCCACATAAAAGCATAAAAGTACGCCTAATCATCCGAAGTTGGTCATGACAATTTATGTCACTATCGTTGGCCAATCTATTCAAATGGTCAATTTGTTTTCCATAGGGGCGAGGTGATCTAGGTGGTTACAACCTAATTTCTTTCTTCTTGAATGCAGTATGTAAAATCACTATATACATAGCACATGCATAATTAATGGATGAAACAACATGTTGCAGGGCTACAAATTCCTCTATCAGGTCCTTTCTTCCTTTCTTAGTGGCATAATTATCTATCTACAAAAAATGAATAAACAATAAGAGGCTAAAATCAGCACAAAAAGTAAAACAAATAATAGAAACTGTTGACTGCCATAAAACAAAGTGTAAAGGCCAAAAAGCCACATAGAGAAAAAGATTCAATGAAAAACAAAGGAAATAACTATGCAAAAAATGGTGATGCTATGGTACATTTCGATGTACCATACATTTAGTTATGAACTTGTATGATTTTATGTCATAACTAATACCATATTAGTCATAACCACTATCATATTACCTCATAACTTAATTATATTCAGTTATTTATTTATACCATACTACCTCATAACTAGGTCATAACTAAATTATTTAAATAATTTAACTCTCAAATAGGCAACCGGTGTAGCCGATTACAAGGGGGAACAAAATTGAATCAGTCGTGTTTGGCCCTCTTGTTGGCTCTTCTCCTCCCTCTTCTCTTCCGCCATAGCCGAAGCTTCCGAGGACCACCAGCCTCGTCCGCGATCCGGGCATCAGCCACATCGACATCTTCTTTACAAGCTCTCACTCTCTGGACGTCTCCACCATGGGTTTGTGAGCAAAGACCTAGTCATCGTCTTTTCCCTTCCCTTCTAGTCGAATCGAATTTTTCTGAGAACTCTTTTCTGTAGTTCAAGTTTGTTGCTAACTCTAAGCTTCATCTAAATGTGCCATTGGTGCTTTGATTTCAAAACCATAACCCTTATTGAATATCTGTTATTAATTTTTTTTATCAGTCAAAATTAATATCTATAGCCACCCAAGATAGTTGTGCCATTGGGGGCTTTGATTTCAAAACCGTAACCGTAAACAATGAATATCTGATATTTGTTCTCATTCAAAATTAACATCGGTTCTCAGTCATATTCACATTCCTTTAATTGCTTTCACTTTGCTCTGGCATTGTATATCCACTATTTTTTTTCTTATTTTTGTACGCAAAAAAAATCTAAACGAGGTTTTTATTTTTATTTTGACATTGTAAATTTTTATATAAAAAAAAGTTTCTTTGCTTGTAAGTTACAAAATTACTTTGTTAAGTTTTTATTAATATATATATTTTTTAAAGTTTGGCATATCTAATTTTTTATTTGATACATGTAAAGTAAAAAATCTAGACAAATAAAACAAACACTTATTTTAACTGAGTAATGTGTAAAGAAAATTTATAGTAAAATAATATAAGCTAATTGGTGTTCCACTGCAACTAATCGTTTCTGTAAATAGTGCTCCATGTTTTTTATTTGATCTGCCTCTACAATAGCTCCTTTCGTTGTTGAGAAGCAATGGGCAAGTCGTTTCAAACAAAAATATATAGACTCATGATTTTCTATCTCACCATGTGTGCACAACCAGACAGCCAGGTGTTCCAAATTCCTTACTATGTTCATCTTCGTATTTTAATTTGAGATGGCCGGACAATCTGGTATGTAAATAGTTGCTTCCATGCCTTACAAGTTGTGTCGATGTGTGGTTTCTATGTTGTTCTTTTTTTTTAATTTAATTTATGTTTAAATTATGCACACAACCTGTTTGCTAATATGTCCCCGAAAATAGAAAATAGAAAATCTGTTGGTGTCTTAACCATGAATAAAAGGGGCATTCTAACTACCAGCCACCAAAATTAACAGCAAATCATCTTCCTTGGAACAAGTTGCATAATTCAATGATTTTTATGTTCAAAACAGACAAGTGAAAACAAATTTTGTATTATTCCATGATGTGGTTCATTGAAGAAAGGATTATTTAATTATATAGCTGGAAGTAATACCACATTTACCATAAGATATTTCACTTCCTCAAATGGATTTAATCAGAAAAAATGTAAAACACTCATTCTACTGGTAGATTCCAATACCTTGTGTAGTGTAGGGCCTTATTTTGACAAATTAATATGGCAGATAGACCGCCTACAAAACATAGATAAATCCCCACCAATCAAAGCTCTTTCAAACAGAATTTCACGCTAATTAACAAAATGAAACTGGGACCAAATTAATTAACAGAATTTCAAGAGGCGAAGGCATACTAAGACGGGTAGTTCAGAGACCAAATTGGTTGAAGATGGTAAGGTTGCTGCAGATTCAGTTAATCAACTCCCGAGTAAGGTTCATTCTCTTCTTCGAAAAATCCAAGCCTTTGTCCCAATGCTTGATGTCTATGTATTTATGGATGTGTTCGTATAAACGATTTATTCTTTATGCTTTGATTTTAATTTTAATATATTAATTCTGTTTTAGAATTTTGATTAATTATAAATTTTAAGATTTAGGAATGCAGCAAAAGTATGTTGAATTGGAGTGAAGGAGAATTGGGTGAAAGCATATATATGTTAAGTTTTCATGGGTAGTTATTTGAATAAAGGAAATGGCTCTTCCCGCTTAACTTGTATTTTTGGAAACTCTGTTAGTTACAGGGAAGTTTTTTTTTTGTTTCTTATTTTCAACGTCAAAGTAACAGCTTGATAAACATTGTTCTTTTTTAATTGCCTTACTTTTCATATGATGTAAATTGTTATTATTTTGTCTTTTTTGTGTTTTTGTTCTTGGTTTTCTTTTCCTATATTGTTTCAGATGGTTAAGATGTGAAATAATTTTCTCTTGTTTTCTTCAGTACATTTGAGGAGTTCATTATTTTCATCGGTGAGACCATATTCACCTTCATCTTTGTGTCATTCTTTATATTTTTGTGACCCAGAAATTAATTGGGATTGAAATGTTTAGGGATTAGCAATTACATTTCGAAGAATATGAAAATAGCAGTAGCAAGAATTCTTAGGACTAAATCAGTAATGCATCAAAAGTTAGAAATATTCAGCTTGTTTAGTTCCAGTTTTCAAAAAACAGTTTTCAAAAAATTCTACTTTTTTATTTTTCGTATTTTAATGTTTTCAATGAATTTTTTTAATATTTTAAGTAATTTTTTTTAAAAATTTTTAGACACACCTAACATAAATACACTTAAAAAGTATAATATTTGTGAAAAAATCTTTAAAAAATACACTAAATACCAAAAAATATATAAACAAATACGAAAATTTAGTACATTTTCGTATTTTTGTGTATTTATTAATTTTTTAAAATATTTTTTTACAAATATTTTACTATTTAGATACATCTAAGTAAAGTGCATCTAAAAAAGTAAAAAAATTACTTAAAATTTAAAAAATATTCACTAAAAACAAAAAAACACGAAAAACAAAAAACTTAGTTTCCAAAAAACTGAATTCAGAAAATTGAAACTAAACACACTGATTGTTTCTTCATTACATTTGTGAGTTTATCTTAATTTTTTGAGCATACACCATCAAGTTGAATAATTGATTGATAGGATCTTAATTTTGTGGGCATTCTACTCATTATACTTGATAGAGCTAAATCTCAAAGCCATTTTCCTATCAAGTATGGCATTTGATGGACCCTGATTAGCAACCATTTGCAATTTATTATTGAAAAGAATGATTGATGTAAGATGATATGCTTGATGCCTTGTGTGACTTCATAATAATGAGATAGTTGATTGCTGGCCACTGGCCGAGTTTATGCCATGTTCTTGTGTTGGTATACTTTAGGTGAAAAAATCTTTCCTCCATGTTTCAGGCCCTTTGAGTTTGAGGTCTGGTAATTGTAAGGAAATAGAAATGTGTATCTAGCATATAAGGCATATGCTAAAGTATGTATTTCGTTGCTTAAGTTCTTGTTGTGCTCTTAAAGATTAAGAAGATGGTACTCAAGAGGGATAAATTTAAGATGAGAAAATTGTAATCTTTGCATTTGCTTTGCTAAATTGGGAACTGTTAATGCATCAGTTATCATTGACCAGATGGGTTTTGTTTATT